CTTTTTAATTATTTATTATTACTATTTTTCAAGTCTTAAAAGACAAGACATTTGAACCAGGGAACAATAAATACCCGTTGTTTTGGATTTTAAAGGTAGCGCAAGCTTACCCTGAAGCGGTAAGACCTGAGCGCCTACCGCGCAGCAGTTGGTAATGCAGCGACAGACTTACCCGCCACTTCCCTTTCTGGGCCAACCTTTCTATCACCGCTTGCCAAGTCAGTGCATCAAACCTTGCACTGAAAATATAATCGTATGCAGGTGGAAAAGTTGGTGGGAAGACTTGTTCATCTGCAAGAATAAGCAATTGAGGAAACTATTTAGTATACACAGCACTTTTAAAGTTGGGGTGTCCAACTAAATTACTTCATTGCACAGTGACAATTTTAGTACTGATTAATACCCAAGAGAATGCCAAACTGGGAGTTAAATATCCCTGGCTACCCAACTGATAGGGCACCTTGTTATCAGCAGCCAGTCGTCATTAAACAGGGGGAGAAAAAATTAATCCCTGCCCTCAAGGGATTAATCCCAACACCTCTCTAAGCTCCAAGACATTGTGAACCTCGTGGTGGTTCTTCCACTTGTGGGTGAGCCCAGCTACAGATGCTGCTAAAACTAATCAAAGTCCTTAATACAGGGCTACAGTTTCAAGTAAATGCAGCAAGGGCACAACCCAAAATCTCCTGGCATGCCTGCAGGCCCTGTCAGACAAAGCCTGTGAACTGGACAAAAAAGCAAGCAGAGGAGGAGAGACTGAGGAGAGGGCAGGGCAACACAGAGCGGACACTGCTCAAAAAACACACCCCTCACAATAACACAGAAAGGCCAAATTCCCTCTTTTCATTGCTGCCCATTAATAGCTGAGGGAAAGTCTCCCATGCTTGAACACACTGCACTGTAAACTCAAGTTTAAGCTGAGTATCTTCTAATTATTTTCAAATCTACCTAGCTAAAAGAAAAGCCAAGTGGTTTGGGCAAAAACCTCTAAAGCCTTAGGGGTCTGGAGCACCAAATCTTCAACCCTGTCTTCCTGACTCTGAATTTTGACCTTTTCTAACTATTCCACAATTGACGTGTTCTTGTGAGACAACACATTCCGCTGCACAGTGTTTTGGGATTGTTGGCACCTGCTGTAAACTGGACCAAGCTCACCACATCCTTTTGATTAGGCCACTCAACATATTCATAATCCTGAAACAGACCTGTGCCACTAAGGACCAAATGAATGAGCTCACGAAGGATGCCCTACCAAGGACTTTCGTTATCATCATCACTGAAAGGATCTTAGAAAAGTTAAACTCTTAATTTGAGTTTACCATTGACACTTATGAAGATTCCAGCTACAAAATCAGCAACTTGAGTTCGATCTGCAGAAGCATTCAGGAGAATCAAACCTTTATGAAACATAGAAATTGCCTCATAAGAGTCTGATAACATGATCAATGAGTGGCCAGCTCTATAATAAGCCTGAAAAAAGAAGGAAAACAAAAAAGACCATGTTGGGAAAATATTCAGAGATCTTTACTACAAAACATTATCATTTTTTCCCCCTAAATTCTTTAATTATGCTGTAAAAATGACATGTAGTACTGTTTTTACAGCTTCTTACACATAGATTTAAAAAAAAAAAAAAAAGTGCAATGAACATCCCTTGAAATTCACTATATGCTGATATCATCACAGATACTATGAAAGCATGATAAATCCTGGAACACAAACTTTGGAAAATAACTACAGGATGAAAGACATACTCTTAGCAACTAGATTTTAACCTCCTCTGGAAAGGATTTTTTTTAATGTCCCCATGTCACTGCATTTTACAGTATTTACCATAATGCATATATTCTTCAGCCAGTGGCACCTGAACACATTTATATTCACCACTGAACTATGTTGAAGTGGCTTAGAGTCACAGCGGAGTCAATTTTTTCAAATCAGATAACCAGCATGCTGCAATACAGCACAAGTTAAATTGATATTTGCATACAATTTTACTGTATCTAAATCAAAAACCTTCTACTAAAGTCTCTGGGAGTTTGTAGTGGTTGGTCCAGAAGACTATTTATTGTACATAAAAGCCAATCCAAGTGTGTGCCTCCGTATCATAAATACTGTACAAGCATTACTAATTCTTAACAGATGAGAATTTGAGTCAATGTGTACTTAATTAATGTGTACTTAATCACAAGTGTATGTGTGGTTTATTGTTCTGTTCACTGGAAATACAGTATGACCTTGATCATCACATACTGTTCCCAGAAACCGTAGGCTTATTTACATGTTAAGACTATTAGGTCACAGTGCCCAAGGGAGCCTTCAAAGCTAAGTCCCCATCCCAGACCTGATCGCTATCAGTGACTGATGAATCTTTAATGTGAGCCAGGCTCTGTAAGACCACAAGTGAACGCAGAGCCGATGAACCAGCTTTCAGGCTGAGAGAGTTGGGGTTTTTCAGCCTGGAGAAGAGAAGGCTCCAGGGAGACCTTATAGCAGCCTTACAGTACCTGAAGGGGCCTACAGGAAAGATGGAGAGGGATTGTTTATCAGGGAGTGTAGTGACAGGACAAGGGGTAAAGGGTTTAAGCTAGAGTAGGGTAGATTTAAATTAGATACAAGGAAGAAATTCTTCACTACAAGGGTGGTGAGGCACTGGAACAGGTTGCCCAGAGAGGTTGTGGATGCCCCACCCCTGGAAGTGTTCAAGGCCAGGTTAGATGGGGCTTTGGACAACCTGGTCTAGTGGAAGGTGTCCCTGCCCATGGCAGGGGGGTTGGAACTAGATGATCTTTGAGGTCCCTTCCAACCCAAACCATTCTGTGATTCTAACCTCACCATGGACAGGATCTGTGCAGCGTGCTGTGGCCTGACCAGAGACCTGGCTGGTGCTGCATCAACCCTTGGTCTCCAGCATCACAATGGCATGTAAGATTTTATTACTTGCTGTCACCTTGTCTGGGATATTAATAAAATAGTCATCTTTCTTGAAAGCATTCGTGACTCTCTTGTTGGGACCCAGAAAGAGCTAGCGTCTCCTCGTGCAAAAAAGAGAGCTGCTTCATTTTATTAAAAGTACTATTAGTAATTCTGATGCTCATGTACAGAGTCAGACACCAATTCTGGAATTTTATACTATACTTGCTTATCACACCTCAAAACCAAATCACTATAAAAAGCATACATTGTCACTTGTTTTAAAAAGTAAGGCATGCAAAAACCGGCAACTTAAACGTCTGAATACCTTAACGTACTCCGGATCCCAGTGTAAGCTCTGGTAGGCTGAAAACACTGCTTCTGTCCATTTACCAAGATTGTACAAGGCAGTTGATTTGTTGCAGTGTAAGACAGCTATGTCCCTGGAACACCTAAAAATATGTTTTTAGCATCACTGTTTATTTGCTTCGAAAATCATACATTACTATTAGCAACAAGAAAAAAAAAGAAAAAAGTCTATATATCACCCACCAAACAAAATTAGAGGTAAACATGGAGGTGTAGAAAATAAAGATAATTTGAACATCAGCTATAAAAATCTGTTAGTGACATCCTAAATGATACCTTAGTGATATCCTGGTCTCTTCTGAAGCAGAAAGCCAACTCGCTGGAGTAATGCAGTATGAGGATTTAGAAAGAGTTTAGACCACCTCGACACACCTAGATACAGCTCAGTGAAAGCCAGTGGCCAAGAACAGGAGAAAAACAGACACACAAATGGAAGCTGCTAGATGGAAAGAATGCTAAACACAATTCGGTCACCAAAAAACAACCTAAACGCATTTTACTATATGACCAGTTGATGAAGTCAACAGAATTGTCCACATTTACAGTAGGTAAGAAATAAAGAAATGTATTTTATAGAACAGAATATACTAAAGTATATCAAGCATTTGCAAGAGAGTTTCTGGAAAGAGCCGCACACAAATTACAGGACTACAGTCCATGGGGTCCCGGGGAGCCTAGAAAACCTGTCTTGTCTGCGCTCAAACTCCTATCTACTAATTTACACTCAAGAAAGTTGTTTCAACTACACTGAATGTGTTCAGAGCACGCTCTTGCACGCAAGCAAGTCCTACGGCAAGAGGAAAGGAGACGCCCAGGAGCGGACCCCCGTGGTATGACAAAGCCCCACTGTCTGCATATACTCCAGACTTATTTTACTACTTAGTCTAAATGGATAATAGTCAAAATAAATGAGTGGCTGGTGTTAAATATTCAGTATTACCGTGTATTAATGCTGCTGTTAAGCTAATTTAATAGTTAACATAATACTCACTTATTTAATCATTAATAGCATTAGCAACTGATGTTAACAAGTACTTAATGTTTGCAAAGAAATGCCCAAAGAACTCTTCTGATGAAAGTATTCTCAGATTTGTTTAAATATAATTTAAGAAAGACCAAATAACATAGTAATTGCATAAATAAGTGTAAAGATAATGAGGTGACCCATGTAACAACAGGCCATAGACATGACCAGTACATGGCAGAATCACAGCAAGATTAATACAGAGTATGTCAGCTAAGAAACAGAAGTAATTTAATAGAAACCAACACAGTTTATGGAAAATTAATTTGAGCTTTAATTACACTAATTTATCATTGATGCTTATATGAAAATATTCATATTACAGTCACTAACTAAAGCCCCATATATATGTCAGGAAGAGCAATTCCTCTTTAGTTATAAAACTTGTACACTAAAAAGTGTGACAAAAGATACAAGAAAATCAGGTGTCAGGGCAAGAAATACAGTTCTGAGTTAACTTGTAGTACTGTACAAACTTCGGACTTGTTTTATGGTTTACATCTTGTAATTCAAGTATACTTACGGGACCCATTGCATTAAATAACCGAGCATATGTAGAGCTTGATCATACTTTCTGATGGCCAAAGAGTAATTTCCATTTTTAAAATCCTGGTTCCCAGCTTGTCTCATAAGCTGTGCATGTTCCATGGCATCCATGCTAATTAAGATAAAAAAAAAAAGTTAATCAAACAGAAGTATTGATTTACACGACACTTCTTT